CCAGCGCCGGGCAAACCACTCGCGCAGCTCCTGTGGAGAGAGTGGCTCCCGCCGAGACGAAGCACCCAGAGAACCACCAGGCCGAGCAGCGCTAGACGGCACACGAGCAGGTCCAGCGGTCACGGGCTCCGCACCCCCAGGCTCAGCAGCTCCAGACTCAGCACCCCCAGGCTCAGCAGCTCCAGACACAGCACCCCCAGGCGAAGCAGCTCAAGACGCAGCACCCCTAGGCGACACAGCTCCAGACGCAGCACCTCCAGGCTCAGTAGCTCCAGACGCAGGACTCCCAGGCTCAGCACCCCCAGGCGTGGCACCCACAGGCCCAGCACCCCCAGTCGCAGCACCCTCAGACCCAGCACCCCCACGCGCAGCACCCGCAGCAGTACCAGAGTCACCAGCAACCTCGACCGGCTCGACCACGTCTACCTGGGACACACCTGAAGGGGCAGGACCCTGAGGAGGTAGGGGGTCTACTGGGGGGGGAACTGGTACCAGGAAGTGCGGAGGCGGGGGGAGGGACGGAGTGCGGTAGGGGAAGAGGCGGTAGAAGGGGACGGACTTGTCGAACGTGACGTCCTAGGAGGACAAAACACGGCGAGAGGCGGGGTGGTAGAACTGCCACCCAGGTGCGTCAGGGGGAAAGCCAAGGAAGACACAGGGAGCAGCACGAGGGGACAGCTTGTCCGCAAACAAGTCGCGGACAAACGCCCGAGATCCCTAGACACGGAACGAAGACGCATCGCCGACCTGCCCCGTCCACAGCAAGGCTTGGGAGGTCTTCGACCAAGAGACCCTGGGGTGAAGGTTGAGCTGATGCGCCGCGTAACGAACCGCAAACGGCCACAGAAAATGGGGGGCAGCCGCATGCATCATGGACGTACAAGCGACGTCCATGACCATGCCAATGCGGCGCTCAGCAATCCCATTTTGCTGCGGAGAGTCCGGAAGCGTAAAGGTCTGGTGGATGCCTCGTGCACGACAGTAGGCTCGCATAAGGCCAGAGGAGAACTCCCCACCTCGGTCAGAGTGCAGACGCAGAACAGGAAAGTCCGAGCCGAAGCTCCTCCTGAGCTGGAGACGAGCTGCGCGGATCCAGTCGATCAACACCTCAGTGACATCACCCTTGCTGCGCAAGGGGAAGACCGTGGTGTAACGCGAGTAGTCGTCAACCACCAGCACGAAGTAGCGCTCGTGACCCTGTCCACGGACGCGGGCCGGGCCCCACACGTCCATGTGAAGCGTCTGCAGAGGAGCCTCTGTCGGGGGAAACTTGGAGGAGTGAGGGGCAGCCCGGAGCCGCCCCTCGACACAAGGGACACAGGAAGGTCCTGGCCCCGAAGGAAGGGGAGGGAGAGACTGAGGAAGACCAGAGACAAGGACACGAGAAGCCATGCCCCGAAGGCGCAGCAAGGAAGGGTGGCCCAGACGGTGGTGCCACAGGAGAGTCTCGTGAGACAGGAGGCGACACGAGCAGGGGGCAGACTCAGGACCAGACCGGGACGCAGCAGCAAACACCTGACCCGACGCAGCTACCTGGCCAGACGCAGGGACAGGAGGAGACTCAGTGGTCAGGGTGTAGAGGCTCGACCCCGGCCGACGCGAGAACGTGGCCAGGTGTCAGCCTGTGCGTGCGTCCGTGCAATGGGTCACCCGCTGACTCGAAGGAGTAAACTGGTGAACCCCCGCATCCTGCAGGTCAGCACCACTCACCAAGTTCGTCGAGAACGACGGGAGGTACAGACCAGACAGGGTGCCCGAGGGGGCAGCCGGACACGGGAGGACAGTGGAGAAGTGAGAAAGGACAGGACCCCCAGAGGGGTCAGCCAGGGAGACTGCAACCGGCCGACCAAGCGGCGTGAGTGTGGTGCGGTCTCGAAAGAAGGAGCGAGAAGCCCCTGAGTCAAGTGTGAAGGTGAGGGGGGCCGAAGCCGACGCAGTACCTGAGAGCGCAGCCTCACCAGTACTTGAGAGCGCAGACGCACTGGCACCTAGAGCAGCAGCCTCACAGGCACCTAGCGCAGCAGTACCAATGCCCGGGTCGGGCGGGAAACACCGGTAACAGTCACCCTCATCACTAATAGTCACAGCATACATGGCAGCAAGGATAGCATCAAAGTCAAGATCATAGATAGCTACACCTGCCCTAGACAGCTCTCCCCAGCGGGGGATCTCACTAGCCTCGGGGAACTGCAGACGCCAAGCGTCCGTCAGGCGGCCAAAGCAGCGCTGGGTGGGGTGGGCACCCCCACACTGCTCACCAGCGCGGTCGCCGGAACGAAGGACGTAGGTGCACGGTCCAAAGCCCCCACCACGCTAACGCTGCTTGTACCACTCACGGAGCTGCGGAGGCGGGGGGATGTCCTGAGAACGCTGCTGCTGCTGCTGCTGCTGGCGCTGACCACCACCAGAGCCGCTCCGCTGCGAGGCACCACTCCGACCAGCTCCACTCCCTCCGCCACCGCCGCCTCCACCTCCGCCACCACCCCCGCCTCCGCCTCCGCCACCACCGCCGCCTCCACTCCCTCCGCTGCCGCCGCCACCGCCTCCGCCCCCGCTGCCGCCACCACCACTACCACCACTCCCACCGCCACCCCCACTCCCTCCGCCCCCTCCTCCGCCACCACTGCCCCCGCCAGCTCCACCCGCGCCCTTGCCCCCCTTGCCCTTGCCAGGGCGGCGTCTCCCGCTAGGGGCAGACGCCGCGCCGACCGACTCAAGACCAAGCAGGTTGGCAGCAGCAGCAGAGGCAATAGAGGGCAGCAGGGGGGAAGGAGAACACCCCTCAAAGATGGGGGTGCGAGGGTCACCACGAGAGGCTCCGACAGCGACTATGCACTTCTCCGCCGCCAGGAGGGCCTTCTCAAGGAGGTCGACAGTGAGGGTGGTGGGACAGACTGAGAGGAAGTGGTCCCTGACTACGCGAAGGGAGTCAGGGAGGCGTGTGACTATGTAATAGAGAGTGATGTACATGGGGGGGGGGTTCTTAGCGCAGAACTCAGCAGGAAGTGCGGCGCGGTAGCGAGTGTTAGAAGTGCGAAGGTGCGTGATGAGGTCAGCGACTGTAGGAAAGGCAGCAAGGTCAGGAAAGAGGTACTGTAGCATGAGGCGGCTAAGTGCAGCAGTGGCAGGGGAAGAGTAGCGCGCAACTACAGCGCCGTACAAGGTCTGAGCACTCTTGTACTGACTAAAGCGCGCGCGCTCAGTGGTAGGGAGGTGGCGACGCACAGCAAGACGTGCAGCAGCATCGCGGGTGGCCCACTGAGAGCGAACAGTGGGGTCAGCATTAGCAGCAGGGGTAGGAGAGGCGCTAGAGGTGAGGTCAAAGAGAGAAAGACCGTCCGCCCTATCGCACTGTAAAAACAGCTGCAGGTCGTCGACCCAGACCTCAAAGTCAATGGCTCGACCCTCAGCGTCAAAAGCGAGGACACTAGGGGTAGCCATGACGACAGACTAGCAGTGCAAGTAGTGGGGAAAGGGCACGCAGTAGCAGTGGGGGCCATGCTCACCAGACAGGGCAGGTCGGGCGGCTCGGCAGTAGGGCGGCTCGGCTGTGGGACGGCTCGGCGGCTGGGCGGCTCGGCTGTACTGCGGCTCGGCGGCCCGGCGGCTCGGCGGCTGCTGCTGGGCGGCTCGGCTGCTCCGGTACCGGGCGGCGTGGCGGTCGGCTGCTCGGGCGGCTTGGCAGGAGGGGAGACCGGCGGGGCCGCAAAGGTGAGGGCGGCGGGGCCGCATAGGTGAGGGCGGCGGGGCCGCGTTGGTGAGGGCGGCGGGGCCGCGTAGGAGAGGCGGCGGGGCCGCGTAGATGAGGGCGGCGGGGCCGCGTAGATGAGGGCGGCGGGGCCGCGACGTGAGGGCGGCGGGGCCGTGTAGGTGAGGGCGGCGGGGCCGCGACGTGAGGGCGGCGGGGCCGCGTAGGTGAGGCGGCGGGGCCGCGACGTGAGGGCGACGGGGCCGCGTAGGTGAGGGCGGCGGGGCCGCGTAGGCACGGACGGCGAGGCCGCGAAGGTGAGGGCGGCGGGGCCGCGTAGGTGAGGGCGGCAGGGCCGCGACGTGAGGGCGGCGGGGCCGCGACGTAAGGGCGGCGGGGCCGCGTAGGTAAGGGCGGCGGGGCCGCGTAGGTAAGGGCGGCGGGGCCGCGTAGGTGAGGCGGCGGGGCCGCGACGTGAGGGCGGCGGGGCCGCGTAGGTGAGGGCGGCGGGGCCACGACGTGAGGGCGGCGGGGCCGCTTAGGTGAGGCAGCGGGGCCGCGACGTGAGGGCGGCGGTGCCGCGTAGGTGAGGGCGGCGGGGCCGCGTAGGCAAGGGCGGCGAGGCCGCGAAGGTGAGGGCGGCGGGGCCGCGTAGGTGAGGGCTGCGGGGCCGCGACGTGAGGGCGGCGGGGCCGCGACGTAAGGGCGGCGGGGCCGCGTAGGTAAGGGCGGCGCAACGGGCCGCTAGGGGCGACATGGAGGGTCGCTAAAAAAAAAGGAAAGCGCGCCTCGGGGCGCGCTTCGGTGGGCCCTAGAAACAGTCCCTAGGAGGGGACCTGCTCTGATTCCATGTGAAAAGGAGAACGCGAATGAATCAACTATGAATGAAGTGAGTACATATAGGAAACCCTAATTGGGTTGTACCCCCTATGGGATACCCCACTATAGCCTACACAACAGCATAAGCTATAATGTTCTGACAGCGGCAGACATCAACATCCTCACAGATACTAGATTGGAAGGGAACCACTCTTACTGGAACAAACTCAGTGCAGCCTCAGTGGTAGCAGTTACACCTCAGGAGAGAGCTGGCGGTGTCGCTGTTATTGCCTGGGATCCTGGTATACAGTTTAGAAACACATTGACTCACCCCTCAGGTAGACTCATTAGGATAGAGGTTATAGGTAAAGGTCTCTCCATCACCCTTTTAGCAACTTACTTTCCAGCGTTGCCAGCAGCTCGCGTGGGGTTCATCAGGGGCGTTGTCGGACCGGTAGTTGATCAGATAGACCCGGGTAGCCACGTCTTCGTCATGGAGGACCTCAACATGATCGATAACCCTTTTTCAGACAAGACATCACGAGCAGGCTCAGTGGCCGGAAACATCAGACTGGTACGCAGATGCGGGGTGTTCCAGATTTCGGACGCCTTGCGTACCCTACACCCCACCAAGAGAGAATACACCTTCATGTCGGCGGCGAAGCAGGCCAGCACAAGGATCGACCGTGCTCTGATTTCGCGGTCGCTGCTTCCCGGCCTGGAGTCAGCCTCGCATAAGTCGCCTGATGACCCGATCTCGGATCATGGCTCTGCCATCAGAGTGGCTTTCCGCTGCAGTGTTAAAGCAAAGCTTGGACCGGGGGTCTGGAGGTTTCCATCCCACCTGCTCAATAGGCCGGGTGTAAGGAAGGTGGTGGAAGCAGCGGCAAAGCAGTCAATGGGGGATTATGCTCTGCTGCTGGCTCAGCTGAATGCAGGACTTCGCGCCTATGCTAAGGAGGAGGGCAAGAGAGTTAAGGCAACAATGAGGCACCTGTCCGATGCGGTGGCGAACCTGAAGCAGGCGGCCATGGGAGCACCCAACTGCACACGTACAAGGGAGCTTTTGAGAACAAAGGAGGCTCAACTGAGGGAGTACCAATCATCTCGGCAGGACAGACTCCACCCATAGCACAAGTAGCCTCTGCATCACTACCTGCAAGCACCAAGGAGGCGGTTACGATATTGTTACATAAGAAGGGCGATAAAGGCCAAATAAGCAACTACCAGCCTATCACGCTTCTCAATTTCACTTACCAAGTCCTGGCGAAAGTGGTGGCGGACCGGATGAAGAAGGTGCTGCACCGAGTGATCTCGAAGGAGCAGTACGGCTTCATACCGGGTCGGAGATTGTCTGACGCGGTCAGCCTGGTGGCTGATATCATTGATGCCGCAAACAAAGGGGACAAGGACTGGTTTTTGCTGCTGGTGGATTTTCAAAAAGCTTTTTTAGATGCTGGAGAAGATGGGCTTCCCTCCGAGTTTTGTGGGTTGGGTGAGGGGCCTGCACAAGGAAACAAAGACAAGGTTGTTAATTAACGGATGGAAGAGTGAAGCCTTGGAGGTGGTCTCGGGGGTGCGGCAGGGCTGTCCTCTCGCCCCTTACCTCTTCATATGTGCGGTGGAACCCCTGGCCCAGGAAGCGGCAAAGCAGTTGGGCATTGTCAGTGACTCGGGGAGGAGGATGCCTTACCTGGGCTATGCGGAAGATACCACGCTACTGCTGCAAGGGAGGGAGCAGATTGCAGAAGCAGGGAAAATGTTGGATTATTTTGAGAACGTTTATGGTTTGGTCACAAACAAGGATAAGTCGGTGGTGATGCCGCTGGGCAGAAATCTTGGAGGTCGTCCCTGGAGGCCGGATGGTTTCAAATGGGCCGGTGCAAATGATGCGGAAAGACCGCATGGAATCTGGGTCACCGCTTCAGGTGATTGCAAGGTGACATGGGACAGGACACTGGCGAGACTGCTGGGAGAGATGGGGAAATGGGAGTTGAAGTACCTCACGATTACGGCAAGGGCGGTCGTCATCAATGGATACATTACCCCGATCATCGCCTTCCAGGCGCAGGTCTACCCGCCACCGCGGGAGGTCTAGGTTCGGATCTCGAAGCTGATTCATAACTTCCTCTCAGGAAACCACGCGTCAGAGGAGGGGTGTTTCATCCTGTGGGGGAAGGAAACAATCTTTGCAACACGAGAGGAGGGAGGTGTCGGAGTGAAGGACCCGGGGGTTCTGGTCGCCTGTCTGGCTACTAGAAGGATCGGAATCCTGCTCACCGAGACGGACGACTTCAAACGAGACATGATGCTCGCAGCAGCAGGGCTGCCGCTGGGGGTGGATACTTTCCTATCACATGAGAAGCTGTTGAAATACTGGGTCGATGGGAGCGCGCGATGGAAGCAAACCTGCGAGTGTTTCATGTCGTCGTCGTTTGCCACCGTCAGCATACCTCTCACCGCAGCGGAAGTTGTTGCAGAGAGATTGGTTTTCAACAAAGGCATTCTGCTTAACGGGAGAACGCTGGTCGGGGGACAGAAGGCTGCTAAGGCGCTTTGGGAGATCAAGCTGGGGGACCTGGTGGCGCCCATGGCGAACGGTGGGATGGCAGTAAAGAGCGAGGAAACCCTAGCAATGTCGCTCGGAATAGCATCTGCTCGGCTGGCTCTGAAGGGGCTGGCTGCCGCGCCTGAGAACTGGAGGGAGCTGCTGCTCGCCTCATCGGAAGGAATTCCGGGCGCAGTCATGGGAGGGAGAGCAGTGGTAGCCCGTGGGGGTAAACTGTTCCTCACGCCCATTTTCCACCTCGGCCAAGTCGCCCCGATAAAGCACTTGCGGTTAGCATGGAGAAGACAGGGGCACTCGGCGCGGAGGAGAGAGAAGTGGGCGAACCGATGGGGGGGGACAATCGACTGGAAGCAGACGTCCAAGATCCGTGATTCGCTCACCACGCCTAGTCATCTCAGAGATGTTTTAATCAGGGTGCATAACTTCAACCTTCAGGTCGGGGAAAGGCTGGCTTTCCTCAGCTCGAAGCCGAAATGTCCGTACTGTAGCGAGGAGGAGTCACTCGAGCACTGCCTTTTTGAGTGCCCGAGGATTCAGCCAGTAATGGGGGCTTTGAAAACGGCTCTCAAGATGCTCAACCCCAGGCGCACCATCTCATCGCTGGGCGACCTTCTTTTTGGGCGAGCGTCGTCCAGCTCAGCTTTTCCGGAAGCAACGCTTACGGCAATCACTATCCATCAGCTGTGGGTTGAGAGATGTGCAGCGGCTTTCCGGGAGCAAAAATTTCGGTTGAGACGGGTACTATGGAGGATAAAGGCAGCTTTCCGGCTGCATGCAAGGATCTTCATGAAACACACGGGTGAAAAACTGCAGAAAGACAGCGCAACAGGGCAGAAGGTGACACGTGGAGGAGGGCCCAGCCAGGAGATGAGGCTTCTGGATCGAATCAGGGACAGAAACGCTAAGAAGTGGACGTGGAAGGCGGGGTTTGCAGCCATCTGGACGCGACAGAGAAGGGGCAACATCAGGCCGGGGCAGCTACACTGAGGCGGGTTACCACTTAGCCTCCAAGCGCAGTTACGACTGTTCTTGCTTTTGTACACTTGCCTATTCGGTGTATAATGCAATTACAAAAAAAAAATCATTCTCGATATTCGTTTTACTGCGCACTCTGCAAGTTCATTCATAGCAGTTATAATGCACTCGTAACACTCGCGCGTATTTTTTCCCTCACCCGTCAGCCAGCCACCCGGGGGGTGTACGCTGTTGGCATAGGTTGGCAGCGGGTTTGATTGTGGGATGTTAGGTCGGGCCCGTTCCGTCCACAGCTCCATTTGACCTAACTCCTCCTGGGGCCGCGTTCACAAGTACTGTAAATATCGGGCGGAATCCTTCTGGTTTGCAACAAGCTCTGATGGGCAATCCCAAGGTCACCCCAATAAACCAGTCCCGTGGGCAAACCGTCCATGGGAGGCAGGGAGGGATGGAGGTCGGACGGAAGGAAAGGGTGGGAAAGAGCAAGGCGCGTTAGGAAAGCTCTAATGGATTTCCGTGCAGCCTTGGCAATGGAAAGTGGATGACTGGGCTGTCTGTCTAGGCTTTTGGACTAAACACGGATTGAGTTGAGATTTGGAAGCCGCCTGGTTCGGTTTGATTGGATGGGGTGTCTGCGTCTTTCGCCAACCACCACACCCACCAGCAGAACCACTTGTATCTCCTCTCCTGTATTGTTTCCCCCTAGAGCCACATTGTGCACACACTGTGCACGTCTGCCTGGATAGTGCAACCCTCTAGGACTTGGGAATGAAGGTGGCTGGCGCGTAGCTTCGTCGAGTTGCGGGAAATAGTAATTTATTACGACTAATTTCTTAATTATTCCCAAAACCAATGCCTTCTAGACGCATCACAGGCTTCAATTGCGAAGCATGAGCACCGCAGACGTTTTTCGCGATTGCTACGACATCCCCTCAAATCAACGGTCAGGAAGGATGTCGTCCAACGCCGCGTCTAGCCCCTCACCGTACGATCAACAACCATATGAATCGCAGCCGTACGCTACGCAGCCACAGACGCACCCGTCGACGGGTCTCCGTAAAGGTCAGCACCGGCGAGGCGCGTCGGCCGGAAGCTTGCTAATTCCCGTTGAGCAGTGGCGGCAGGAACAGGAGCAGCGGCAGGTGCAGGAGCCGCAGCATGATGCGACGATGCAGTATGGGAGAGGCTATCGCGATGAGAGGGAGCCGCGTAGCGGCGAGTACCAGCAATATCAGCAAGATAACTCGCAGGACGAAGAGCAGCGTTACTATTACGAGCAACAGCAGCAGCAGCAGCAGCAGCAGCAGCAGGTACGGCCGCAGCGGCGACAGGCGCAGGAGGAGCAGCAACGGAAGTACGAGCCACGCGTTGATCCACGCCCACGCCAACGCCAACTCCCGTCGCACAACCAGCAGCAGCCGCAATCGTTTGAGAACGAGCCCTTTGAACGAGAAGCTTACATCGCCCGTCCCGAACAAACCACCGCTGCGGGAGCGACACCGCCACGTGGCGCCGCGGCGCAGCAGCATGGAGGCTTGCCGTTTCCGAGCCTTTATCGGCCACGTCACGGCCGGCAGCAGTCCGCCGACAATTTCGGCCGTCCGCCGTCAGCCGCGATACGGCTTCGACAGGAATCGTCAGACCGGCACAGCCGGAGCCACAGTAACCTGCCGAGCTTCGCCTCCTCCCTCTCCTCCTCGCCTGACGTCGCTACGCGCGGCGCGGAGCGTCGAGCATCTCACTCGGAAGAACAGTTAGAGGCGGATTGTCGCAGGGAACCGTCAATGGTAAGTTATTCGCAGCAGAATAGCGAAGTTTATGCGCCGCAGACGGATGGCGGTATGCCTGGTCGGCGAGTTAGGGTTTCGAGCCACAGCGTGGGAAACATGGGCGAGATAGTTGCCGCATCCCGCGTGCCTCCCCGCGTGCCGGGGCCAGGTCGCGGGGGTCCCGTGGGCGCTCTTAGCAAGGATCGTCGCAGGCCGATTTCGTACGATTCGCAGCAGTTCGCTACGTCAGACGACCTCGCGGATGTCACGCACGGCACCTTCGCCGCCGGTGGTAACCAGCTGGGTGCTGGGGCTCGGCATTTCGCGAGCGGCAGTAGCGCATACGGCAGGGGCGGGGGATTAGGAAAAGGAGGAGTAGGAGGCGGCGGCGGAAGCGGTGGTGGGAGTGGCGGGGGTGGAAGCGGTAAGGGATTACCAGGTGCAGGCGCGTCCCCCGCGGAGTGGTCGAGGGGAGGCGCAGGAGAGAGGCAAACGGGGCAGGGGGGGATGGAGGGGCGCGCAATGGGTGCTCCTGGGCAAGGGATGCGGGCAGCAGCAGCAGCAGCAGCAGCAGCAGCAGCAGCAGCAGCAGCAGCAGCAGCAGCAGCAGCAGGAGCACGGACTACCTCCCCTGGGGAAGGGGCATTTTGGGAGAGGCCTTCCAGGGACGGCTTTCCTGGCGGAGATGCCAGCGGTAGGCGCCTGGTAGGCGGTAGGGGCGGAGGGCGGGGGGCTGTGGTAGGAAAGGGTGGTGGCGGCGGTGGTGGCGGCGGTGGGGGTGGCGGTGGGGCTGGCGGTGGTGGTGGAGGTGGTGGCATTCGAACGACTCCACCGACGTCTCCCCTAGCGAGCCTAACGCACGAGGACTTTGCGGCGTTTGAGGGGTACGAGCGCAACCAGGACGCCATCCAGAGCGTGCTGCAGGCCGCCAGGGATCTCGTGGACGACTGCCAGCAGGAGGGCGTCTGGGAGTCCGAAGCCACGCTCAAGCCGTGGCACGGTGGCGCCGAGCCTGACCAGCAGGTTCGGCAGCAGGGGAGAGGTGGGTCTGAGCCTGATCGGCAGGTTCGGCAGCAAGGGAGAGGGATGTCCGAGCCTGAAAGGGAGCCTCGGCGGCAGATGCGTGGCGGGTCCGAGTCTGAAAGGCAGGCGTGGCAGGCCAATACGTACAGGCAGAAGGAGAGAGATGCGCAGGGGCAGGGGCTTGTTGAGGCGAGGAGAGGAGTGGATGGCGCGTATAGGAGCGAGGAAGAAGAGTACGGGGTCCAGGGGCAGCACCAGCAGCATCAACAGCAGGAACACCAGCAGCAGCAGCGACGGCGGCAGCAGCAGCAGGAGTGGGAGAGGAGGAATGGGTCGTACAGTGACCGGAGCTCGCTGGGCGAGCGGGCAAGCAACAGCCAGCGCGCGTCCAGCGACATGGGGTCGTTCACGGAGCAGGGCGGGTACAGCGCGCAGGAGAGAGGCAGGGCGGCTGGCCAGCAGGGGCACGCATCCGGGTCTGCCCTTGGCGCTGCTGGTCAGGTAGGCCAAGGGAGAGCAGGGGCAGGGCTGGGGGCTGAAAAAGGGGAGGGGGCAGGGGGAGAGGAAGGGGCAGGGGCAGGGGATGGAGAGGGGGGAGTGGGAGGAGCGGACGGGGCGGGAGGCATGAGTGTGGCGGATGGCATGGCACGGAGGAAGAAGAGGGAAGAGCGGCTGCAGGCAGTGCGGTACCGAAACGCCATGGCCGCCGCTGCCCCCCATGCTGGTACCACCACTGACCACCCTTCTGGCTCCGCTCCTGCTGCTGCGTCTGGTGCTGCTGGGGATTCTGCTGGGGATGGTGCTGCTGGTGATGGTGCTGCTGGTGTTGGTGCTGCTGGTGTTGGTGCTGCTGGTGTTGGTGCTGGTGTTGTTGTTGGTGCTGCGAGGGGCGGTGGGGCAGCAGCAGGGGCAGTGGTCAACCGTGGGGACGGGGCGGGGGGGCAGGGCGAGACGAGCCAGCAGCACAGGCGGATGGTGAGTGTGGACGAGATGATTCGAGCTGCACGTGACCAGCGGCGTGCCAAGGCGGCAGCGGTGCACACGGCAGCAGCGGGCCCGTCCGCCGTGGACTTCTACCTGGGCTTCGAAGACGTGCCCCGCCACCTCCTGCACCACGCCCTCGCTGCCGGCATGCCCGCTGGGGGAGCAGTGGGGCAAGCTGGAGGGATGGGGACGGGAGGGGGGGGAGGTGGGGCAGGAGGGAGAGGAGGGGTAGGAGGAGGAGGATCAGTGGTTGCGAGGAGAACAGGGGAAGGAGGGCGAGGAGGGGTGGGGGGCATGGATAGAGCAGGAGAGGGCGGTAACAGCAGTAGCAGCAGCTGGGCCAAGGAGGAGATGGGGCCTGTGAGAGCGGAGGGGCAGGGGGGGGAAAGGCGAGGGGGTGGGGTAGGCGGAGCGGAGGGGGGAGGGGCAGTGGTGAGGGGGGGAAGGGGGCGGAGGCAGGCTAGTGCGTGTGAGGTGGGGTTGCGTGCCATGGGGGGTGGATTGGGCTATGGGTATGGAGACGAAGGTCAAGGGCAGGAACCGGGATACAGACAGCAGGACGGGTATGAGCTGGAGCAGCAGCAGATGCAGGAGCAGCAGCAGATGCAGGAGGCAAGTGAACACCAGCAGTTGCTGCAGCAGATGAGGCGGAGGAGGCTGCAGAGCGGCAGTGGCAGTGGCAGTGGCAGCGGCACTGGGAACAGCATCAGTGGCGGTGCTGCATCTGCTGCCACTGACGTTTCTCCCCATGCTGCTGCTGCTACGGCTGCTGCTCCTGGTGGTGACAGTGGTGCGAGTGGTCGGCTGGCTGCATTCCTGGCGGACGCTGCCAAGCTCGCATCAGGGGATGGCAGCTTCAGCAGCCGGGAAGGAGGCCGCGATTGCAGCGACAGGGAGGTGGTCGCCGATACTCACACCCATGCCAGTGCTGCTGCCACTGCCTTCACTGGTGCTGGTTCTAGCGCTAATTCGACTGCGCGTGCTGCTGTTGGTGCTGGTGGTGCTGGTGGCGTGGGAGGCAGAGACGGCTATAGGAGGTCCAGGCTAGGCAGTGGGCAGGAGAGAGGTGCGGCAGGTGGGGTTGAATCAGCAGCAGCTGCTGCCCCCGCAGCAGTAGCAACGGAGTTGGGCAGTGGAGAGGGGGAGGAGGAGCAGCAGCAGGCGCCAACACGGCATGCCAAGCACACGATCCAACAGAAGGATCAGCAGCAGTCAAACGCAATTCAAGGCCTGGGAGGCCAGCACCACCACCCACCCCAAACCAAACCTCTCCAGAACAACCTTCCCCAGCAGCGTGTGGAGCAGCAGCAGCGTGTGCCGGTGGTGGTGCGGGACGACCCGATGGGGCAGCTGGCGCCCATCACGGACCACATCCTGCGCATGCCGTATGAGGACGTGCGCGCGCGCTACTCCCTGGGCAAGCACGAGATCGGCGCGGGGCGTTTTGGGTCCATCCGCACGTGCCTGGAGCGCGCCACTGGACGGGTGTTCGCGTGCAAGACCATCGACAAGAAGAGCATCACTGTGAGCGCCGCCCTTTTGTAGCAGGTGCTTCTGTTCTGTGCGTGTGTGTTTTCTGGAAAAGCATTTGCATGTACCTGTACCGCGTCACTGAGTGCGTGTTCGCGTGCAAGATGACTGACAAGAGGAGCATCACTGTTTGGCCGCCGCCGCCGCCGCCGCCGCTGCTGCTGATGCTGCTGCTTCTGCCCTTGTGCTTGGGCTTGCTGTTTGGGGGGAGTGGAACTTGGGAAGGTAGGAGTGGAGCCTTTACCTTGCTCAGATGGCGGTGGATACCCAACCGACACATACACACCTCCACACCTCCCCTCCCTGACCTCCCTCATCTCTCTCCCTCCCCTCCCTTTCCTAACTCCCCTCCCTCCCCCCCCTCCTCTCCCTCCCCTCTCTCCCGTCCCTCCCGTCCCTCCCGTCCCTCCCCTCGCTCCGGTCCCTCCCCCCTCTCTCTTCCCTCCCATCGCCTGCCTCCCCCCCTCCCAACCCGCTTCTGGCAGTGCGCAGAGGACGCGGAGGACGTGCGGAGGGAGGTGGCGTTCCTGGCACGGCTGCAGGGCCACCCGCACATCGTCAACCTGCAGGGCGTCCTGGAGGATGACCAGGTGCGGCATGGGTGGTGGGCGTGTGGGTGGTAGGCGCATGGGTGGTGGGCGCATGGTTGGTGGGCGCATGGTTGGTGGAGAGATAAGGAGGGCATTGAGTGGTAGAATGAAAGGAGGTTGAGAAGGCATGACTGCTAAACCAAGAAGAGCCATATGCTGTACAATACACACGAAACAGATGGGAAGGCACACATTTGAACCACCACAGAGGAACACGCAATGGACGTCCGAGAATCGAGCCAATCATGCCCTTGCAACACGGTACTTGGTTGTATCTGGGTCACGGCCAATCTAAGTGCAACAAAGCCTGCACTCACCTGGCGTATGGCAATCCTGCCACTACACTGACGAGCATGCTGGCGCGCGTGCTGCCTCCCCTCCTCTCCCCACCTGTTCCCTGCTGCTCCCTCCCCACTCCCCCCCTCTCCTGCTCTCCTGTCCCACACCACCTCACCCCCACTGCTCCCCCCCCTGCTGGCAGAGCATCCGGGTGATAATGGAGCTGTGTGCGGGCGGTGACCTGTTCGACTGCATCAAGGCGCGCGGGCAGCTGTCGGAGCGCACGGCAGCGCTGGTGCTGAAAGCACTCATGGGCGCGCTGCAGCACTGCCACGCACACGGCATCCTGCACCGCGACGTGAAGCCCGAGAACATCCTCATGGCTGACCGCACCGATGACCGCAAGGGCATCAAGCTCATTGACTTTGGCGTTGCTACGAGTCTCGAACAAGGTGAGGCGAGGGTGGGGTGGCGCGGAGGGGAGGGGAGAGGCGCCGGGGGGATTGGGGTGCTTCTACTTTCTTCCTTCACTCTCTTCTTCCCTTCTTTACTGGTTCATGCCAGGGTGTCCAGCCTTGCTGTTAGAAATATCGTCCTTGTTTCTGTTCCGGGTACTAGTCCTCTCAAGCGCATTTGAATCTGCTCTCCCTGCGGCCCCTGCCTCTCCAACCCTTTCCTACTTCCCCTCCGTACCCCCCTCCGCCCCCTCCTCCCCGCCGCCCCTTCCTCTCTACAGCTGATCCAAGCACCGGGGTGACAAGCACGCTGGAGTGCATGGCTGCAGTCGTGACCAAGTGCTGGACGTCTCTGCCTGGCGTGTCCACCTCCCGTGTGATGTCGTGGGCGGACATCGACAGCGCCACGCTGCTGCCACGTCATTCGCACTCTCAAGCGAATTCCAATACGTTCTCTCTGCTCTTCCCACCCACTCCTCTCCTCATCCCTTCACAGCGGGTCCGTGCAGCGAGGTGGCGGGCACGCCAGAGTACATGGCGCCAGAGGTACTAGACGCCGTGTACGGCGTGGAGGCGGACATCTGGAGCGCGGGGGTCGTGCTCTACGTCATCCTGTCGGGTGTGCCGCCCTTCTGGGCGTCGACAAATCGCACGCTGGAGGAGGCGATCCGGCGCAAGAAGGTGGACTTCAAGTACTTCAAGTGGGCGGGCGTGTCGGACGACGTGAAGGAGCTCATCATGCGCATGCTCAAGAAGAACCCTCGCTCTCGTATCACTGCGAAAGAAGTGATGAGTGAGTGCCGTGCTTGTGTGGGTGTCATGCCCATGCCCAAGCGTGCAATGCAATGATAACGAGCTGAGCATGTTCCTCGTCATGCTCGTGCTCAAGAAGAATTTGCACTCCCGCATCACAGCTGAAGAAGTACTGAGTGAGTCATGGGCATGCACGCGGGGCATCTGGTGTCGTGGGGTGTCTTGGTATGTGCCCATGCCCACCCATGAGGCAATGTGAAGGAGCTAAGCTGAAAATGGCCTCGTCATGCGCATGCTCATCACTCCTGTGCTCGTGCATCACCGCTTAGTTGGCATTTTACGTTTACGGGGGTTTACGTGTATGTAAGTTTACGTAGTAAACTTAGGTTTACTTACGTGGGCCCAAAACAGCTTTACGTTTACGGTCAGCCAGAAACATTTCTGACTGCCCGGAAAGATAGGAAATCATCGGACTAAGTGGCTGCATGGGAAGCGCCTAATCATTCACTAGCTTGGTTCTTCTATGCCCAAGCATGTTAGACATTATTACGTCAACTTACAGATGCCCCAAATCTACACCGACATGTCACCCACCTCATATCAGTCAGAGTTTTCCATTTTGCATGTCATTTTTTTTTTTTGGCCTGCCCGTGCAACTTTACGTAATACTACGCGTAAGAAAACATAAAGGTAAACTCAACGTAAGTTTACGCTTTACTTGACCCTAAAAAACGTAAAGTACCAACTAAGCATCACCGCACTGCAAGTGCTGAGTGCAGAAACATGCACACATTCACACAAGCATGCCCGTACACTTGCGCACAAGTGTACATGCACATAAGCATACATGCACATAAGCATACATACACATTAGCATACATGCACCCAAGCATACATGCACCCGAGCATACATGCACTCAAGCATACAGACCTGTCAAGCCGACAAAACCATGCAGCTTTTGTCATCCTGTGCCATGCCTTGCCATGTCTACTGTGTCCCTCATGCAGCCCATCCCTGGGTTGTTCGGCACACATCAGCGGAGCAAGAGTAAGGTGGGGGAAGCACGGGGCACACATCAGAGGCAATGGAAGGACTTCAATTGACGCCTGCTACAGGACATGAAGCCACATTCCAGCTAACATAGGCTACCAGCGAAGACGAATGTAGAAGTTATGGGATCATGCTGACAGGATCTAAGGGTACCTTCCTAAAAGATGTCTCAACAGGAGGCGTCACAGACGCTAAAATTGGTGTCGCGCCTAAATGCATGTAAGGGTACATTCCTACCTACTTTGGGTCTTTCGAGACCAACTTCGGGTCTTCCGGCCAAAAATTGCCCCATTTTTCGAAAGACAAAGTTGATGTCATAACTGAAGGCTCGCAGTGGATAGGATAAAGCTGCTATCGTAAGTATATGAGAGAATTGTGAAGTCTCTGTAATGACCTTGTTGATAATGCTTTGAAGAAACAAGACGATTATAAGATAGGAGTACAGGAATATAAATAGCAATCCTAGCTAGCCATGTACTTGGAGGGGTACATTCCCTTATTAACCGAAGTACATTGCTACAATAACCATGACTATTGCCATTCTACACAGTATCCGTACCACCTTGCATTTTGTAATTGTCTTGTGCGGTTACAGGTCGGTCAAGGGTCACGACCGTTGACTGACTTTGACTGTTGACCTTCGGGTGACCCTCGACCTTCCGCGTGCTCTATATGAACTATTGCGGTATTGATACAGGTGTTTGCTTCGTTATCAAGTGACGCGAGAATAGAGAGCCTTCGGGAATGCTTAAGTTAACCTTATGGTTATTCCAACAGTAGTTTGACAGGAAGTTTAACCCAAAGCTTCGGGCCTTCCCGGAAAGGCCCGAAGCTTGATACGAGCCAGGAACGTACTAAAGCCTCGCATCATGCTGTGCATTGTGACACTTGGCAAATTAAGAATTGTGCTGTTGGAAAACCGAATATTGTATACAAGTGCTTGTATAACGAATATTGTATACCAGTACTGTTTGGTTTTTGTGTAGTCCCCTTTATAAGCCTCCATGATAAGGGGGGGGGATTACTATTCCCTTTGAATAGTACTTTCCAACTCACCCTTATTCTTATCCTCCTTGATTTCCTTGTGCCATGGCCCTCAGATTCGTAATCAAGCTGTTTGATTCGTCAGACTTGATACACATTTCTAGTCTGATCAATCAGACTTGATACCATAAAAAAGTTTGAAATATCAGAGTACAAACATAAATAAGGCTGATAAACTTGCCTCTCGTTATCAGGGTAAAATACCCTTTTTGCACTGACTGGCGGCCACTTTTTTTCAGTTACCCTTTCACAGGCAGGGTAGTGGATTTTTTACCCTAGGCCAGAAAGTGTAGGTTTTTCAATACCCTTGAAAAAACAGCATAAGGAACACATTACTCTGACTGTACAGTGTACAATCCCAACAACACTGGAACTGAGTGCTCCGTAGCGAGAAAAACACTATACAGGTCCCTGCAAAACTATACCACTAGCGAGATTTGAACTTACACTCTTACAGATCTGTTGTGCAATTGAACCAGCTGAAATACTAGCCATTGATCTTCAGAGCTTCGGCATTTAACTAATCACAAGTTTTTAAGAATACCCTGCCCAAACAGACTAACTGTTTTTTTACCCTGCATTTGTCAGGGAAACAAAAAATTTACTCTACCCATCAGGGTTGAATATACCTAGAACCATGATTACTAAGGGTGGCCCAAAACGAATCTGAAGCCCTGCTGATAAAGCAGAGTTCACATACCGTATGGCCCCGGATATAGGCGCTGGCGCTTCTATCTAGAGCATGGCGCTATGGCCGATCCTCGATTAAAAGCGTCCCCCCTAGAAATGTCAGATGATTATATTGCTGATGCATATATTTAGGCTGTAGTGGGGGTAGCCCATAGGGGGTACAACCCAATTAGGGTTGGTACTTGTACTTGTTTCATTTCATAGTGCACTCATTCTTCGCTTCTATTCTGAGATGGTATCGAGCAGGTTCCCTAGTGGGAACTGTTTCTAGGGCCCACCCACTATTTCGTCCTGCCCGGAGCGCGCTCTGCCCTAGCCCGAGTTGCGCTGGGCTCCTTTTTTCTTTGGCGGCCCGATCTCGTCGAACCGCCCGTCTTTTTTTTTTTGGCGCGCCCCTTCCACTGCCTCGTCGCGCCGCCCCTAGACGGCCGCGCCACCTCGAGGCCCCGCCGTCCCCTCTGACGGCCCCGCGCTCACCTGTGACGGCCCCGCCGTCCCCTCTGCCGGCCCCGCCGCTACACCTGACGGCCCCGCCGTCCCCTTCGGCGGACCCGCCCCTGCACCAGACGGCCCCGCCGTCCCCCTTCGACAGCCCCGCCGTCCCCTTCGACGGCCCCGCCGTCCCCTTAGACGGCCCCGCCGTCCTCTTCGCCGGCCCCGCCGTCCCCTTCGACGGCCCCGCCGTCCTCTTCTCGGCCCCGCCGTCCTCTACGACGACCCCGCCGCTGCACCTGACGGCCCCGCCGCTGCACCTGACGGCCCCGCCGCTGCGCCTGCCGGCCCCGCTGCTGCACCTACTGGCCCCGCCGCTGCACCTAACGGCCCCGACGCTGCACCTGACGGCCCCGCCGCTGCACCTGCCGGCCCCGCTGCTGCACCTGCGGGCCCCGCCGCTGCACCTGCCGGCCCTGCCGCCACTTCAAGCGGCCCCGCCGCTGCACCTGTCGGCCCCGCCGTCTCGCCTGCCGGCCCCGCTGCTACCCCCTGTCGGCCCCGCCGCTGCATCTCCTGACCGAGCCGCCCCAGCAGCCGCGCCGCCCCGGCAGCCGAGCCGCCCCAGCAGCCGAGCCGCCCCAGCAGCCGAGCAGCCCCAGCAGCCGAGCCGCCCCAGCAGCCGAGCCGCCCCGGCAGCCGAGCCGCCCCTGCAGCCGAGCGGTCCGAGCCGCCCGAGCCGCCGAGCCGCCCTGCCGTCGAGCCGCCCGCGCCGCCTGCACTGCCCTGTCTGGTGAGCACTGAGCTCTGCGCACTGCCCTCCCCCTACTGCTGTCATGGCTACCCCCAGTGTCCTCACCTTTGACGCTGAGGGCAGAGCCATAGACTTTGACGTGTGGGTAGACGACCTGCTGCTTTTCCTACAGTGCGACAGAGCTGACGGCCTCTCTCTCTTTGATCTCACTTCTGGTGCCTCCCCCGCCCCTGCTGCTACTGAGGATGCCACTGTTCGCTCACAGTGGGCCACTCGCGATGCTGCTGCACGTCTTGCTGTGCGTCGCCACCTCCCTCCCTCTGAGCGTGCACACTTTGGGTCGTACAAGAGTGCTAAGACCTTGTACGACGCCGTTATTGCACGCTACTCCACCCCTGCCACTGCTGCTCTGAGCCGCCTCATGCTACCGTACCTCTTTCCCGACCTTGCTGCTTTTGCCACAGTCGCTGACCTCATTACCCACCTGCGCACTAGTGACGCTCGCTTTTGCGCTGCCCTTCCTGCTAAGTTCTGCGCCAAGAACCCCCCCCCCAAGTACTTCACTCTCTACTACATTGTCACCCGCCTCCCTGACTCCCTTCGAGGAGTCAGGGACGACTTACTCTCAGTCTGCCCCACCACCCTCACTGTTGAGCTCCTCGAGAAGTCCCTCCTCGCAGCCGAGAAGAGCATTCTCGCTGTAGGGGCCTCTCGCGGTGACCCGCGCACCCCCATCTTTGAGGGGTGTTCCCCCTCCCCCCTCCTGCCCTCTGTCGCCTCTGCTGCTACGGCCGACCTAGTTGGTTTTGAGTCGGTCGGTGCGGCGTCTGCCCCCAGTGGGAGACGTCGCTCTGGCAAGGGCAAGGGGGGCAGGGGCGGAGGTGGAGGCGGCGGGGGCAGTGGAGGCGGCAGCGGAGGCGGCGGAGGAGGTGAGGGTGGTAGCGGGAGTGGTGGCGGGAGTGGAGGTGTCAGCGGCGGCAGTGGAGGCGGGGGCGGCAGCGGCGGTGGTGGTGGGGGTGGAGGCGGAGGCGGCGGTGGCGGCGGCGACGGTGGGGTTGGCAGTGGCACCGGAGGTGGTGGTGGCGGCGGCGGAGGAGGCGGCGGCGGAGGTCGTGGCTCGTCGCGGAGGAGTGGCTCCGGTGGTGGTCAGCGCCAGCAGCAGCAGCGTGGTCAGGAGACCCTCTCCCCACAGCAGCTCCGTGAGTGGTACACTGCTCGTCAGAGGGGTGGGGGTCCTGGTCCGTGCACCTACGTCCTGCGCACTGGCGACCGTGCGGGTGAGCCGTGTGGTGGTCCGCACTCCCCCCAGCGCTGCTTCGGCCGCCTGACTGACGCTTGGCGCCGCCAGTTTCCTGACGCCTCTGAGATCCCTCGCTGGGACCAGCTGTCTAGGGCAGGAGTAGCTATCTTTGATCTTGACTTTGATGCTATCCTTCGTGCCATGTATGCTGTGACTATTAGTGAGGAGGGTGACTGTTACCGGTGTTTCCCGCCCGACCCGGGCATTGGTACTGCGGCACTAGGTACTGCTGAGGCTGCTGCTCTAGGTGCCAGTGCGTCTGTGTCCCCAGGTGCTGGTGAGTCTGCTCTCTCAGGTACTGCGTCGGCTCCGCCCTCTCTCACCTTCACTCTTGACTCAGGAGCGTCTCGCTCCTTCTTTCAAGACCGCACCACACTCACGCCGCTTAGTCGTCCAGTGGCAGTCTCCCTGGCGGACCCCTCTGGGGGTCCTGTTCGGGCTCGCTACTCCACTGTATTGCCGTGCCCTGCGGTCCTGTCTGGCGCCCTGTCCGGTCTCTACCTCCCCTCGTTCTCTACGAACTTGGTGGCGGGTGCCGACCTACAGGATGCAGGGGTTGACCAGTTCACCCCTGCGCGCCGACGGGACACTCACAGCACGGACGCGGACACGGGTCGACACTTGACCACGTTTACACGTGGGCCGGGGTCGAGCCTGTACACACTCACTGCTCCGTCTCCTCCTCCTGCGTCTGGTCAGGTAGCTGCGTCGGGTCAGGTGTTTGCTGCAGCGTCCAGGTCTGGTCCTGAGTCTGCCCCCTGCTCGTGTCGCCTCCTGTCCC